CAAACATCTGCTATTTCTTTGACACTCTTCGTTTTCCTGGCTCATCTTTGAGTCTGTCTATTCTATTTGGAACAAACTAATCAGAAAGACAGCAGACAAGCAAATTAAACAAAAGTCGGACATTGTGGCAACATAAGATGTATTGACAGAGATATTACCTTGAACACTGGATCTATGTCACCATCAATATCAAAGCAGAAAAAGCCACTACTAACTTTGGAAGCCGTGTACAAGGCAATCTCTTTCTGCGGAATAAAAAAAAAGAGAGACAACTTAAACATTTATTGTAAAGGGCAGGGCTGCAACAAATGAAGCATGCTAACTATAAATAAACATAGAAGTATTACTATTTTACTATCAGAAAATAGTAATGATATATCCTATCAGAAGCATTACGAAGAAAGTAATCCTGCAAATAACATTTCAATATTGAGCTTTTAATTCAGTCAACCTGATAAAATGCTAAGCATTGAAGTATAAATTTCTCCACCGCATCAAGTTCCACATCCACTGTAGCATCGTAGTCCTTCACCTGTGAGCATATTCAAGGCAAGTAATAAGAGAGTCTCCTAGAAAAAACGTAGCCATAAAGGTAACAAACAAATATTTACCGCATCTTTATACTCTCCCACAGCATGATAGCAGGAACCTCGTAGGTACAAGCACTCCAGTGAGTTCTCAAAGCTCAAGCCGATAGTTAATTCTTGGATAGCCTTCCTGAAAAAATAAAATTACCAAAAACAACAACAGGTGAATAATATCACTGCTTTAAAAGACCAGCCTTGTACATAAATCCCAAGGCGACTAGAACATCCTTTTGCCCAAACGTATTTTAACCACCAAGAGCCAGGAATCTTATCAGACATATTTTAAAGTAGACATTGAGATATACGTGCATCACTCATGGAAACTTTAGGTAGCATGCACATGAACGAAGACATATTTTTCCCTTAAACCAAATTCAGTTTCCAGCAATACTAGTTTACACTAACAGTACATACCTGTGTTCACCTAATCCATGGAAAACTAAGCCACGCAAGTGATAGGCCTTCCAAACCCTGGTCAAGACAGGCAAATTGCCATGACTACAAGATATAGTGCAACATGTAAAAGTGCATCTCAAATAAGTGCTACCTGTTGTCAACTTGTAGAACCCTCTCAATGCATTCCAAAGCCTTGCTGTGGTCGGCCAACTCTTGATAGAACTGCCAGGAAACAACCAACAAGTACAGTTAATAAAAAAGTGTGAGGTAGTACCATAGTCGATTGATTCAAGCAAGAAACGAGGATGAGCCAACTAAATTAAGGAGAAAAAAATTCCATTTTCCAATAGCAGAATATGAAGGAACAGAATGTTCTGCTTTTGAGAAAACCAAATAATAAAGTAAAAATGGTCCTTCCTTCAGGAAAATCTAAGTTTCCTTCATTTTGAAGTCTCATTAGCTTTACAGATAACTAACTTCATTTAGTCCCCATCATATGCATAGAAACGCACATAAAAAAAGTTAAGCAATGCCTAGAATCCTATCTTCATCATAGCTCAGCCTAATAGTTGAAAATTCAATAGAAAAAGCATAATCGTAGTTGTTTTAGTATTTGTGTGTTACCTGGGCGAGATGAAGCCATGCTTCAAGATAATTACTATCCAGTTGGATCGACTTCAAATGTGCCTCTTCAGCTTTTGTATATTCACCAAGAGAAGCAAATGCTAATCCCTGGAAAGATCAACAAAGTTTTACTAAGAAAAAAGTTGTGTTCATGTTTACAAGAATATCAACAGAGACAGTCTTACCAAGTAAGTATATGCAGACTTGTTATCTGTCTCTTGCTTCAGACATATAGATAGGTCCTTTACAGCAGCAGTGAAGTCTTTAGCTTTGAAATTAACAATACCTGAATTGATTGTGAATGTCAATGGTACTCTATGGTTTTTAACCAAAGAAAAGAGGTATTAAGAAATTAACACTGAACTAGGGAGCAAGATATAAAAGGAAACACAGTATAAAGACACTTACCCCTTTCATGCAATACATCAGGTGAGTTTGGCTCAAAAACCAGTGCTTTAGTCAAATCTTCAACCGCCTAACAACAAAGGGTAGCTTAAAATTGTTGTATATGAAAACTTAAAAAAGGGTAAAAATCCAGAAACAAAACAGAGGCTTAAACACAAACATCCATCGGAGGCTTAACCAAGTTATTGAATATCAATCAGACAGTATTGCTTATCAATCAAGAAATGTAGTATTGCTTATCAATCAAGAAATGTGCAGGGCGAACAGTTAGAACAGAAGCAGAGAAGCAGAGAACACACAGAACCACTAACCTTAAAAAATTCCCCAAGAGCAGCACGAGCTTGTCCTCTCCGCTTCCAGGCCTCAACTGCTGCTGGGTTAGATTCAATAGCCTGACCATCATCATCATAGGAGCAGTGTTGGTGAACTTAACCCACTGTGGTAAAACTCTTGTCAAACTATGAATACCTTAGTAAAATCAGCTATAGCTTTGTCAAGCTCTCGTTGGAATGCATAAGCTGTCCCTCTTCCTATAAGTGCCTCAGGATAAGTCGGTTCTTCTTTCAGCACCTGCACACAGATAAACTAAACGGTAAATTTTTTGGCTCATTCATTTAAGCCAAAGAACAACCTCC